AAAAACTAATGACTTTTTTTTTTTTGGTTGCGTTAAATATTTAGGTGGCGAGCATAAGACTGCCAAACAGAGAGTTGATGGAATTGACAAAGAAAAATTTACATACAGTTATACTGTACTTGAAGCTGATGGATTTAACGATGTAATCGAGAAAATCTGTTGTGTCATCAAATTTGAACCCTCTGCTGATGGAGGTTCAATCTGCAAAACCACTAACACATACTACCCCAAAGGTGGTGCTCAGATCGGTGAGGAACACCTCAAGGGAGGAAAAGAGATGGGTTTGGGAATGGTTAAGGCTGTTGAGGCTTACCTCCACGCAAATCCTACTGCCTACAACTAATTATATTATCTTCGAGATTGAAGTACACACACTGAGGGTGTCTGTTTCCTTTTTTGCTTGGTTTGCTTTAAGCTGTTTGTTTAAGTTATTTGCAACTATGATCATATAATATGATCGAAGTGTGCTTTTCTTGTAACCTTTGTATCATTACAAGGAATAAAATCTTGTATGGAGCTTTTACTTTGTTATTTGCCAAGAAATAAACTATTTTGAGTTCAATTTCATATATTGGGAATCAGAGAGCGATTCCATGGATTAGCAGTTTCTTTTGCCCATCCCTATCGGCCATAATGTTTCTTTGCCTCCAAAAACTTATTGAAAGTCATTTTGATCCTTTGTCCAAGCAACAATAGACTTGTGAGAATATTTTTCTAACCGGCCATGACTATTAATGAAAATAGACTAAAGAAAATATTCTTTATTTCTGGGACTAATTCCAATTCTTACCAGTCAAAAGAAGAATGACATGATGGTCTATAAGCAAGTCCACAATATCCGTGTACTTTCCTTGCTAATGTACAAAAAAAATTAGGTATGAAATGGAAAACTTCGTTTCCAACGTATAAGTCAAAAATTGCAATGTGACAAAAATTGATGACTTCAATAGAGAGAGTCCAAGATAAGAATTAAGCATCCAATCTGAGAGAATTCGTGGAAGCATGCAAATGCAGATGTAAAAGTTGCTTTGGTCCAAAGTGAAAGTGGCTAGCAAATGTTTTTTTTTTTTTTTTTTAAATTTGAAGTGATTGACCGAAAGAGCTATTCTAGAAGTCAGCAAAAGACGCCTTGTAGCATCACATACTACACAGTATTTTCCTCATCACATGTCAAGACAACGTAGTATAATAGACTAATAGTTTAGTAACCTTGGAATTCAATGGAACAATATTTAGGAGAGATGGATAAGATGAAGAATTCATTAGGTGGATAAGATAGAAACATCTGTAAACGAAGAAAGGAGAAAATGAAGAAGGTGATCTGAATTACAAAGACAGCTCCACTACTAAGCAAGATCACAAGATTCACTTGGGGCCTAACGCAACAAAAACAGACTTAAAATGACTAATTACTAATTAGTACCAGTGCTAAACACCAAAACGACCTCGTTTTCGCTGCTTACTAGTCAATTAATGAAACACTTAATTCTGTCACATGAACCCCTTCTCCCAATTTTTTTTTCTTGAGCAATGAAATATAGAGGGTTGGATGGATATTAAATTCCATAGCCAATTTGAGTTTATAATTAAGCCACAGTTCTAGCACTCTTTTCAAATTATAATAATTTAATATTGTAGATATCTACATGTTTTTAATTTCTCAGGCGAGATTATAATTTTCAACTATGATTCTCTTAATTTTGGTGCCATGTCCATTTAAACTATGGGAGTCGAGATTATAATTTTCTACTATGATTCTCTTAATTTTGGTGCCATGTCCATTTAAACTGTGGGAGTATGTAAGATTCAAGAATACCATATTATTAAAAAAAAAAGAAGGAGAAAATGAGATGAAGAATGGAAAAGTATGGAACATCAGACTACGAAATATAACTTGTTATTTGGTCAAAATAGTCAAACCTTTAGATGGTAAGCACAATGGTAACTACTCGTAACGCCCACAACACAAAGCCCAATTGTATATTCCATTAGCCCAACCATTTCTTGTGGCCTATCATGGCCGATTAGTTACTTTGGGATCTAGTGTCATAACTAGTTTGCTTCGGTCGCGCGATGCGCGAGGGTGCTCAAATTCAATTTTTTGAGTCTGTTTTTGGATAATATTTACACAATTATGGTTTGTTTGGATTGGGCTTTATTTCCCCAAATTTATTTGCTTACATCATGATTACAATTTCCAATACACCTTTTTACCTTTTCAATTACCTTTTTATCTCACATACATCACATCACAAAAAGTGTTACAGTAAAAATATCTCTAATAATTCACAATCCAAACAGATTGATTCATGAAGGATATTTGCATGTGGCCTTCATGAAGTCATGTTGAAAGGCTATCAAAAGTTACAAAGTCTCATGTGGCCTCAAAAAAGGGATGTCGTTTGGTAGCATAACATGGCTCATTGACCTGACTGTTTCATCATCTGCTCAAATTCATCACACGCAGCAGCAAGGAAAGATTCGAAAGAACAGAACTCCACCGCACCGTCCGCCGCACCGCCAAGTGTTTAAATAGTAACCTGAGCCATGTGATAATGCAGTAGGTGTCAGGATGACTTGGATGGAACCAAAACACCCTAAAGCCAAGTCTGCTTCTGCTGACCAATTACTTCATCAAGAGTAAAAGTGAGATCCAAAAAAAAATAGTCATAAAAAAAGAGTAAAAGTGAGATCCAAGGGTACAGTAGTCATAAAAAATTCACCAAGAAATTGGCAAACCATGAACATAAAGTACGCGTGAAATGATGAAAGAATCCACACAGTAAAGGTGTTAATGAGGGACCAAAATCACTGTTCATCCATCTCATTCACACACTTATATATTGTTAGGAAGTGAAAAAGCATAGTCCTATCGTTTCGGAAAAAAAGAAGAAGCATAGTGCCTTAGTGACTGTTATTATCATTATTATTGTTGATTAAATTACAAGGACTCACAATGGCGGAGTAAAAAAAAATAAATCAGAACTCAAATTAGTCCACAAATAATGGACAAATGGTGAAAGTACAACTCAATATTACTAAAAACTAATCCACATAAATTGAGAAAAGAAACTCATATTAGTGAGGCTTAAACCTAAAACTTAAAAAGTTTTTCTAATGGGTGCCAATGACACTCATTAACACACCTAAATTCCATCCAACCTGTTATATGTATACATACTAATAATTATTATCTTCTCTTATATTTACATATTTTCTCTGATTAATCTTACATTTCTAAATTCTAATACCAGAAGTACATCATAATGGGTGGCCATTGGGCACTCGTTACACAGATCCAAAACTTAAAGTTCTTGGGGCTTCAATTTTGAGCACTAAACCCAGAACTCATCGGCTTTACTGATTCCTTGAGTAGGATTAATTGGGAATCTCTCCAATTAGAACCCAATTGCAAAATTTCAGCCATTCTCCAAAAATTTCGAAAAGGGCCTAGTCCAAGAGAGTTTGGAGAAGCTATTGTCATCAAATCTAACGCTTTAGATTTGAGTTGGAATTATGGTAATAGGTGGAGAAACCGCAGTTTAAATACGTTGATTTTGTGTGCCATGGGCTGTTTGGACTTATCAATTGGGCAAATATTTTACGTTCTTGGAAGTTGAGACTTTAATTTTGGGTCCATGTAAGGTTTTGGAAAGCAAACACACGATCGAGAATATTCCTGATCCAGCCTTGCTGGAAATGGGCTAATAGCGGGAAAGTTTCACTGTTTAAGATGCCGGGGAATGTCATGCTCCGAACTCAGCCCATAGACCAGATACTTATGAGAGTTTACTTCCACGAATACAAAGCATCATACATAACTTACATAAAGTTACTAAATATTAAAATTTACAATTAACTCAGAAATGAAAGAATTATCATTACCTAAATCAATAGCACTTTGAGTCATCAACACTGGTCAAAATAACTTAATATGGGAAGTGCAAGTTCTTATGGCTTAATAGCCTGCTAATCTTTTTAGCCAATAAGTCAAAACTCGATCGCCAATATATGTGTCTCTCTCTTATGTTCTTGATATAAACACTAATCTTCTAACTGTTGTTTCAACGATGCACGTGCAATTCACATGGCTTTTCCGTTAGTTTGATCAATTTATCATCAAAGGTCCTATAATCGTCCTTTTTTTTTATTTATAAAATTAAAAGATTAAATTAGTACGTGATAATAGGTGTAAGGACCAAATTGATCAAGACCTCAAAAATAAGGGTACAATAGTTATTTTCCATTTTCAATATTGGGAACTTATGTATTTATCTCTGAGCACATATTTACACTTGTAAGATTGTGATTGGTGCAATTTGTAAATTGGAATTACGCTGATTCTTGGGACTGTGTTGATGGCTGTTAATCACTATGGACCATATCATGTTGACCATCCTGCATGCACTAAATCCCTGCACTAAGCCAATGGCTATAAATCTTAATTGTGTTTTAATCACTTTGATATTTTGTCATCTTGTGGTGTTCCGGGTATCTCGTAAGGCACAATGGTGTTATGTTTCAAACTCGAGACAAGAAAATATTGGCCTTTATGTCTCAGAATATAATTAAAACGTTGTATGGCATACGAGTAACACATAATATGGAAATTTACTTCTCCGATGCTTCCAGCAATTATTAATCTTTCTGGAGCTTCTCGAATGATAATCGAAACCTCTATTTCGCAATTTAACACGGAAGAACTTTACTTGTCTGTATTACTTGAGAACACATGGACTGGAAATGGTAGAGAGGTTTTGGATAATGCTGCATCAGAGTTGAGGAAATGAAATCACAATAATTGTCATTCAAGAAAAAAAATTTCAAACAAGTTCATTTAGCTTCACAAGAAAATACAAGCAAAGTACTATTTCATGTGACATTGTGATCGTAACTCGAAAGAGTCGAAACAAATTGCATCATCCCAGAAAGGCTTTTGAAGACAGCAATCTAAGATAATTAACAAGTATGTGAAGGAATAGGCAAATAGCACTGCTGAATTAGTTGTATTCATGAGGATTGGCGAGGAGGTAGGCCTCGACAGCCTTGAACATGACCAAGGCCTTCTCTTTTCCTGCCTTAATTTTTTCTTTTCCCCCCTCAGTCTGTTCTTCTGTAAGCTGGACGTCACCCTTGCTGTGGCATGCTCGGCTGGTTTTGCAAATTGACCGTCCATCTCCAGAGACTTTGATTTTGACAACATGTGTGACTTTCTCTATCACGTTCTTGGGGGCATCACCTTCAGTTACAGTATTAGTTATTTTTTGTCAAATCCTTCGATTTTGTGCTTTGCACTCTTAAATTAACTCCCTAAAACCTCAAAAAAAAAAAATATTTTTCACATATAACTGATATCATGTAAGACAATTTAACAACAGATAGAATGAAAGAACAAAGAGTGATAAAGAAAATCATAACAGCTATTAAGTGTTTGTGTGCGGAATGACCTTCACTGAAAGTGATCAACTTGATTGTTCCAGCTCCACCATCCCCTTTAAGGGTTTCTACATTCTTGATAGCTTGTGGCATGACCTTAGGAACGAGGTCGTCCCCATCAAGGATGAAGGCCTTAAACAACCTTGCAGGAGGGGTTGAGGAAGTGACCTCTGATTCAAAAGTGATGACGGCCATGATATCCATGTTAAGTTTCTGCTCAGAATGAATGCTATTACTCAAGAAGCTAAGCTGAAGTTGTTGTGCAAATCAAGGTACAAAAAACACTGTGGACTTCATGCTGTCTCTCGTTGTGCTGATTGCTGAATACTGACAATTATTAAGTATTGGACAAAATGGACCTTGAGACTTGAGAGCCCGCAACATGGCGTGTGGAATAAAAATATTTTAAAACAAGGCTCTTTTGATTGACTTCTAGAATTGTTACCTTTTGTTGAGATATGCCTAACTTTTGTAGTTGTTTTCTAGATTTATTTGGTGGGAGAATAATTTAGATAGTTGCTGAATAAACGTAATTATTAGAATATTTATTAACAGTGAATCATGTTGAGTTGGTAACAAATATTTCTGTTAAGATTTAGATTATGCTAATTAGTTAGCAAGTAGTTTTGTTGAGATTTTTATGGAAATTTATTAGTTGAAAATTATGTTAGTTTGTTTCATGTAAATAATAGTGAGTTGATAAATAAAGAAGGTAAGCTTATTTTCAACTCACAATACAAGTCTTTTTGGAGTCATTTTTCTACTATTGCTTGACCTCTCCCACTTAAAATTTATTTAACAACAACTTTGTCAATGTTCAATGGATTAGGGAACTTAGGAACTACATTGGATTGAAATTGTTTGGAATTATACAGTCGGTGTACCTATTCATTGATTGCTAGATTTTAAAATTAAGGAAGAAATGTGTGTCCAATTCTTCAAACAAAACTGACCGCAAAGTCAACTGAACTATATAGATTTTTTTATTTTACGAAGAACTTGTTCTAGCATTAAAATAATGTGTGACTTTATCACCGGCCTCAATTCTTTAGTTGGATTATTATTAACATGCTAATTTAATTACTAGACCATCAACCAAGGTGCAGGTGTATTTTACTCAAAGTTTACATCACCATTCAACAAAGTTGGATTAATAGATTATACTATGTGAAATCAGGGTCCTACTTTTCTGTTCAAAGTTTACATTACAATTCAACAAAAAAGAAAGCACAAGAAGACTGACTATGAAGTCTATTAGGCCTTTTGTACTTAGATTCAGGCTACAACTTCAATCTATAAATACCATCTCCAATCACTTCTGTTTCCACCAAAAATCCTCTTAAGGAACTACTGAAGTCTAAAACCTTCTTGAAATCCCTTTGTTCTTTAACCGTTGTCCATTTCCGAAGAATAAAAAAAACCATCATTGCCCCATTCACATATGATTATGAGGTCACCTCCTCAATCCCTCCTGCAAGGCTGTTCAAGGTCTTCAGCCTTGATGATAACCTCATTGCCACGGTGTTGCCACAAGCCATCAAAGGCGTCGAAATCGTTGAAGGAGATGGAGGAGCTGGAACCATTAAGTTGATCACCTTTGGTGAAGGTTAGTTATAAACATCCACTCTATCATTCCGTAATTTTCCAAATCATTGAATGTTCTTTGGTTTCATGTACTAGTGAACTATCTTATATAAAAAAAACTAATAATTTGTTAAATATTTAGGTAGCCAATTTAAGAGTGCAAAACACGCAGTTGGTGCACTGGACAAAGACAACTTCACTTACAGCTATACTGTAATTGAAAGTGATGCCTTCGCGGATGTGATTGAGAAAGTCGCTTATGTTGTCCAAATTGAAGCTTCTGCCGTTGGAGGGTCAATCTGCAAAACCAGCAGTACATACTACACTAAGGCTGATATTCAGTTTACAGAAGAACAACTTGAGGGAGGAAAAGAAAAGATTAAGGCAGGAAAAGAAAAAGCCCTGGCCATGTTCAAGGCCGTTGAGGCCTACCTTCTTCCAAATCCTGATGCATACAACTGATCAATGCTATACTTCATACATGTCCACATACTTATTGGATGACTAAATTAAGCATTGAGGATCCTATTTTCGTCAGTTAATTCTTTCCGTGAGACTGTCATTTGCAAATGTTGGGAGTGTGATTTCGGTGTATGATCGAGGTGCATTTTGCTTGTAATATCTTACGATTACAAATAATAAATCTTGTTTGAAGCTTTCATGTCTTTTCTGAAATCAAGGTGTATTTCACTTGTAATAAATCGTGTCTGAAACTTGAAACAACTGATTGATTGGAGAATATTCCTCAGGAGATATCAGTCACCGTTTTAGCAATTGCTAAAAATTTGTTTAATGTCAAAAATCAAGATCAATAACGTTAAAAAAGTCATGTAGGCCAGTTGAAGTTCTTTACTGTCTATTGAATCCAAAAAGTCTGTTAATTATAAATGTCTACAATTGTGTCATCATTAACAATTAGCACTCATAAGTATGCTTATATAAGTATCTAGACTGCAACTCAAAGGAGTCCTGAAAAAAAAAAAAAGACAGAAATGTAAAGAGTTTTTTAGTAAGACCAGCTACAGTTATTTTTGCAATTATTACTCGAATAATCCGAGCAAATACTTTTTGAGTTTCATATCTACCTATTGATATATGCCCATTTACATTTAACCATGCATTAGAGAAATGCAATGACACAAGGTCCTAATCTTTATAGCACTGATTTATTCTAGAATAAGACTCAAATTAGCAAAGTTAGATCAAATTTCTGGACTTGAATCAACTCAACCAATAATTCCTTCCCTTCTGCTTAGCTAAACATACTTGTGAATAGCCTAAATCATGAAAGCTCTTTTTCTTTTATTTGTTTGAAGTGATTATCGTTTCACTAACTAAAACACGAGTAATGAGCTAACGTGGAATGCACGTACTGATAGACTAGCAAGGTTAAAAAATGTCAAGTAGGCTAGTTGAAGTTTTTCACTGTCTATTGAATCGAAATAGTCTAATAATTTGAGGGGTCTATTTTATCAACTTATAGAATGCCAAATTATGTAAATAATGATCTTTCTCGTATAGCTACACTCAATGGCTGTTGCAAAATTTTAATTTTCAATGATTCTATCTATTATTCTTTATTTGTTAAATGGGGGAAGTTAAACCGAGTGATCAGAAGATTTTTTGTTTTTGATTTTGTAGCTCTCAAGACTTGACCTAGGCCAAAAAGTATCTCTAATACTAATAATGCGAGGTATAGGTAGAAAATTTTTGGACTAACTCTGCTTTGCATTCCCAAAGTTTTATTACTTTCCCACTTTCCAGAATTCTCAGCGGATTCAGTACAGTAATGCAAGTCAATTCGCTCGAAATTGGGGTTCGCTAAGATCACAAGGGAGCTCTGCAATAAACTCACACGACCTTAGGAATGGGAATTGGAGGCAGTGAAGGTGATCACCTGTGGCTTCCCATTGCACTATATCAGTTTCTTCAATCAGTAATTGCTCCAGACAGCGAAATATTTCTTCAGTTAGTTCCCATGTTGATCGTCGATAAACATAGACTCAATATGAATTAGGTGTTTTTGAGGTTATTTTTGAAATATTATACTATATGAAAAACTTTCATATAAATTTTGGTTAGGGCGTTTTAAAATTTAAAATTTTATTAAGGTATTTTTTAAAAATTTTAAAAAAAACACCACACACCAGTACCACTACCATCACTCCCCTCCTCCCTCCTTCATCTCTACCGCCACTCCTTCCTCCTCCTCTCTCCCCCCTCTCTCTCTTCCTTTCTTCTTCCTTCCTCCTCCTCCGTTTTCCTCTTCCTTCACTCCACTCTTGCCTCCTCCTGCCTCCCCTCCCTTCTCTTGCCGCCCTCTCCCCTTCTTTTTTCCACCCCTACCAGACCCCATCCCTTTTTGGCTTCTAGTTGTGACCGTTTTGTCACTACCAGAAACTAGAAAGGGAGGGAAAGGGGGTTTGGCAGAGGCAGAGGAAGGGAGAGGAGGAAGACAAAGAGAGCGGACGAGGAAGGAGGAGAGGGGAGGAAGAGAAAGAGGGAGGAGAAGGACAGAGGGGAAGACAGAGGGAGAGAGAGGAGAGAGTGTGGGGAGGGTCGGTGATGGCGGTGGCGGTTGAGGAGAGAGGAGGAGAGAGGTGATAACGGTAATGGGTGGAAGAAGAAATGGTGATAGTATTTTCTTTTTTTTTTTTAACTTTTTTTGTATTTTTATAAATTGTATTTGACATTGTATGTATTTTTGGAGTTGTTTTTGAAGTTTGTTATTGTAAACTCTACGAACAAATGGGTAACTTGGAAACACTGGTCATTTCCTCCCACGGAAGATTGCTCGCACTTAGAAATTAGACCGGGAAGCATCCCAACTTATAGTCCTTGCTTTTCTGATTTCCGTGGAAGGACAGTGAAGTGTTTCAAGTTGATGGAAGTAGGCCAGACCCTTTATACACTCAGCATGATCGATCCCTATAGTGGTCTTCTTTGGTTTCACATATTCCTAGCTAGTTCTATAAGATAGGCATCATAGCAAAAGCATCCCTCTTGCAACAGAGAAACTGTTCTGTGGATAATGTTTTTAGGTATGACGAAGACAATGACTGGAGGTAATTATTGCTTGCAGCATCAGTAAGATAGCTTAGAAAAGCAACCATAGTTATATGGAGATGCCTGGAGTTTGGCATACTCCAATATCTCACTGTTAGAGTTGGGATATCCCCGTCTTCCCTCAATGGCCATGGACCATTGATGATCAAATTTTGGAGATTCTAGAGCCTGGGTAGTGAGACAGGAAGCTTGCAAGTAACATTGAGTGCAAGATACCTCATTTTTAATCTAACTATTTGACCAGGGAAAGAATCAAAGTTGCAGAAAAAATATGTCCAGTACTCTGAAGGGATTGGAGTTTCAAATAAGAGAAAAATATATCTGGCACAAAACGTGAACCCATAGTAAAACATAAAAAGGATTGAAGACATCGATATGGAGGCGCTAAGTAGACATCAGAGCACCAGAGTTCAAGTGCAAAACGAGATGACGTAGATTGTCTTTTGCTGGAAAACTTTGGTCTTCTCTATTTATTACATTCATTGTGTTCTCTTTTTGAGCTTCCCTTGGGCATAATCCTGGCAAGAGATCGTGTAGTTTACAACTTTTGATTTTGCCAACAACGCTTCTCTTTCCAGCCAAAACTACTACTAATAAGTGTTTAATTTGTTTTTGTATCTCACGTCGAAAGTTTGCAAAGAAATACTTCTCTTGGTGATTATCAATATAGTGGATTTAAGTTAATTTAATTGTGCCAAGGGCACCAACCCAAGTGTCGTGTGCACTAGTCCAAGAGAGTTTTAGGAGGCCTACACCCCAATCTAAGAGAGGAGTTTTGGTTAAGCATCAAATCAAAAAAGTAAGTCGTAGGCCTTTGGGTCATTAAGCATTTAGTGCTATTTAGATTCTTTTGTGTTTTCAGTTTTAGGTGCCTTTTAGGTTTAGGAATTATTTCCTAGGTTTTGTAGTCTCTCTTTTATACGCTCTATCTGTTATAATAAATTTGCTATCCCTTCGCCATGAACGTAGATCAGTTTGATCGAACTTTCGTATATCTCTATTTGATTTGTTTGTTCTATTATTGTCATTATTGAGTTGCCAAGAATTATATTATTCTTGTTGGTCAATTTCTTGGGATCAGATCTAACAAATTGGTATCAGAGTTTCAAGTTTCAGGTCATAGTCAGATTTTGGGTTCTTAATAACAATAACAGGTTTTTGATGCTACAAAAAGTGAAGAAATTTTTTTTTGTTGGAGCTCAATTGGGTTTTTCAGAAGAGTTATTTGGCTCGTTGGAACTCGTTGAGGATTTTGAGAAGAAGGTGGAGTAAGATTACTATATTCGTAGTTTTTAGTCCATTGGGATCTGTTAAACCTTTTGTGAGATTTGGCCCATTGGGACCTGTTAAGTCTTTTGCATCTTGGTTCGTTGGTGACTCGTTGAGGTTTATTGGGACTTTGGTGGTACGTTGAGATCCGTTAGGACTTTTATGGAGAAGATAGAGCTTGTTTGCTATTCGTCTGCTATTTGTCGATGTTGGATATACGCTAAGGTGGAGATTTGTTGAATTTGTTTTTGTATCCCACATGAAAAGTTTGCAAAGAATTATTTTTTCTTGGTGATTATAAATATAGTGGATTTAAATGAGTTTAATTGTACTAAGAACACTAGTCCAAGTGTCATGTGCACCAGTTTAAAAGAGTTTTGGGGGGCCTACCCCCCAATCTAAGAGAGGAGTTTTAGTTAGGCATCAAACCAAAAGAGCAAGTTATAAGCCTTTGGGCCATTAAGTATTTAGTGCTATTTAGACTCTTTTATGTTTCCAGTTTTAGGTGCCTTTTGATTTTAGGAATTATTTTCTAGGTTTTGTATTCTCTGTTTTGTTTTGTACTCTCTTTTTGTTGTAGTTCTGTTATAGTAAATCTGTTATCCTTTCACCCGTGGACGTAGGTCAGTTTGACCAAATCACATAAATTTTGTGTTTCTATGTTTGATTTTTTTTCTTTTATTGTTATTATTGAGTTGTTAAGAATTCTATTATTCTCGTTGGTTAATTTTCTAAACCAAACCTAACAATAAGATCTTCCAAGTAGCCCTCTTTCACCTCCTCAATGCTACTTGAAGAACTAGCCTCCAAGAAGCTCTCAGCAATCCATAAACAAATTAACTTCCGAATTTCAATCACACAATCTTCAGGAAAGGTCCCCCACGTATAGGGAAAATGCTTTTAGGTGATGAGGTAAATTGTTGTAAATCAGAGCAAGTATATCCAAACATTGATCTGGATTACCGAATACAACAGAACTCACGCTAGCTCCAACATCTTTTCAGCAGTAGGCTGTTATCTCTGTTCTGGAGAGTACACTAGCAAAAACAACTATTGCAAGGGGTAATCCATGGCATTTTCTTGCTATTTACTTTCCAAAGTCCAATTCTAGAGGGCAAGTTTCGAGT